GGGGGGAGTTAAACAAACTTAGAAATTGGATTCTAGCTTTTTCTTATTTTTCTCTTTTTTAAAATAAAGCCACACCGTTTTCTCAGTCTGATACATACAAAAACTTAGTTCGATTGTACTCATACCGCAGGAAATAACACAGTGCATTTATCACACGCAAACTCTTTTACAATCATCGGTAACAAATTTCCTCTCCTTCAGGAGTCTCGGCAAACATCACACACAAAGGTGACAAAAAAAACAGAAAAAGTAAACAAACTGATATTTTATTTTTTGTTTTTTTAGAGTTTAACGGCCAAAATGTGGGGAAGGTTTGGGAGGGGGGGGGAAGGTTATTGATTAGCCTTTAAACTCGCTAACAAATCTGAACATATCACCAGCCAATCGAAAAGCTGCTGTCCAAGTCAGAGCATTTCTCTGAAGACCAGTAGGTCAGCTTCCCGGCATGGCCAGCTGGGGTTAAAGAGCAGGCTGAGGTCGAGGAGATCATAAACCATGCCAATATACATATTAATATTCATTTCAACCCCTGACCTCACCGAGCCCAAACTCTCAGAGAAGCTTTCATCTGGCAGATGAAACAAAGCAAACCAAAACAACAAAACAAAAAGGGCTCGGCGCAACCTCACTCAGCTGCATTTCGAATGCTTCGCCACGCATACATTCAATATCAAAAACAACAGTGTTACCGAAGTTTGGAGAAGGAGCCGTCGCCTTCTCCAAACTGGATTACCCCTCCCCGCCCCCCTTCCCCTAGGGAATGTCTGTGATTATGGTAAGAAAAGGTTTTTAGTGACAGTACACACTCTTAAAAACAAAAAATAAAGGCTGAAATCAGGTTTCTAAAGGTTGCAGAAGGATGAGGAACTGGGGGGGAGTGAACCTCCTTCTGCTACCTTTCACCATGGTTTTCCATCTCTCTCCACAAGAGCATTCAAGAACAAACTGCAGAGATTCATTCTAAGCTGTGGAGACAGACAGAAACGTGGACAAACAAAGGAAGGCAAGCAGAACAAACTGAAGAAACAGATCCCCAAACATATAGCGGGCTAGGGGAGGAGTGATTACTGTCATCAAGACCAGAGTGGCCATCGTTCTGTTCTCATCACCCCAGAGATATTCCACCCCTCCTTCCATCAATCTGTCCATTCTATCTATCTGTCCGTTCACTCACTCAAAACAAAGTGCTGCTATCTCCCCCTGCCCCCTGCAGGCCGTCTGCCGGCGTGGCTCCGCTTCCCGCTTCGCTGTTGTTGGCTGCTGCCGCTGCAGCCACGGCTTCCAGTGAGGCGGGGTCAAAACCTTGCTCCGTCCCCAACGCGTCGGCCTCCATCTTCACGCTGTCGGCCAGGAACGCGGAGTAGGCGTCGCTGTCGGCCATCAGCAGTTTCAGTTTGGGGATCCAGCTCTTGCGGACAACGCGGCGGGCGTTGGTGCACATGTCGGCAGCGATGGCGTTCATTTCGCTCTCCTTGAAGCTCGGTGCGAAATTCTGGCAGTAGACTGGAGCGAGGCAAAGAGTAAGTAAAGGGACAATAAGAGGAAATGAAGGGAGAGAAAAAACATATGGCAGAAACGCATTAGAGGCTAAATTCTAAAGCTGCAGCTTTGCATACCTGCAGCTTCAAGATCTCACTGACATGTAATCATAGACTGTATATAAACATAGGCCACTGTGATGTCATTGATTTGTAGACTTTAATTTTGAACAAAGGGCAACCTCTGGGTACATCATCTCTGGCTCTCTTCCACAGCATGTTTTTTGTTCTCTCTTCCTTCTCTCACCTTGTAATGCACTTTATTTTGGGGTTAGTGATGCGTCCATTAGGTGCCTGCAGGTTGTGCAAAATGCTGCAGCACGTCTTTTAACTGGAACAAGTCTGAGCACATTACCCCAATTTTAATTTCACTCCACTGGCTACCTGTACATTTTAGGATTGTTTTTAAAATTCTCTTATTTGCTTTTAAATCTCTTAATGGCCTGCCCCCCCCACCTCTCGGAGCTACTACAACCATATACACCTGCCCGTTCCCTTAGGTCCGCCAATCAGCAGCTCCTTAAGGTACCGAAAACTAAGTATAAATTTAAAGGTGATCGTGCTTTTGCTGTAGTTGCTCCAAAGTTGTGGAATGATCTACCTTTGCATGTTAGGCAGGCCTCTTCTCTTTCTGAATTTAAAAGTCTTCTTAAAACATATTTATTCGCTGAAGCCTTTGGCATTGATTAGAGGGGTTGACTCAATTTGTTTTAACATGTTTCAATTAATTTTGGTTTTTTATTTTATCTTATCTTATCTCATTTTAATTTTTATTTGCTTATGCTATTAGCATGTACAGCACTTTGTGAACTCTGGTTTTATGTTAAAGTGCTTTATAAATAAAGGTGGTATGGTATGGTATGGTACCCAAACTGGTCCCTGAGCCTGGTCCTGCTGGAGGTTTCTTCCTGTTAAAAGGGAGTTTTTCCTTCCCACTTTCACCAAAGTGCTTGCTCATAGGGGGTCATATGATTGTTGGGTTTTTTCTCTGTATGTATTATTGTAGAGTACCTTACAATATAAAGACCTTGAGGCGATTGTTGTTGTGATTTGGCGCTGTATAAATAAAATTGAATTGAACTGAACTGAACTTGAGGCTGCCTCCAAAAGCAATATCATAGACTCCCAAGCCCAATTTGTCTTCTGTAGCTAATGTACATTTTCATAACAACTGTTATAGTTTGCCCTCATATTTATTAGCGTTTAAAGCTCTGGGTGTGCTTGCTTTATGTGACTATTTGATGCTGGTAAAGGCGACTGTAGCATCCAGCTCTCTGCTAGGCCTCAGAGCCACTAATTTGAGTCACTTAACTGGATGTCCAGACATGGAGTTTTGGTGTTGGTGTACTTTGAGGAAATTCTACTATAAATATCTGACAAGTCTCCTTGCTTTCTGTGCAGTCAATTCAGTGAATTGAGTGAAATTTTAGTGCGTTATTTGTAGGCTATTTAGCATTAATTAGCAGGTATCTGTATCTGGGCCATGTCCAGTGTTGGTCAAGTTACTTGAAAAAAGTAATCAGTAACTAATTACTGATTACTTCCTCAAAAAAGTAATCCCGTTATTTTACTGATTACTTATTTTCAAAAGGAATTAATTACTTAGTTCCTTAGTTACTTAGTTACTTTTTAAAAACACTCAATAGGTGATAAAGCGATAGATCTTTCAGCCCAATTCTACTTTTTCTGCATAATCCATCATACAAAATGTAATCAAATGGAAAAGTCGCTTTTTAAAACTTGTTTTATTGGTTTTAATCTTTTAACTTTTAACATCAAGCAAAAATTTAATTATATGCAACATTCTTTGACTTGAAGAAATTAGTTTAACATTTAAACCTATTTTCTGCACATTCCAGCACATAAAATAAAATATTTTTTGTGTTTACACTCAGTCTTTCAAATAGATGCAA